CAGGCCCCGTCCCTCCTGCAGCTTCGCCTGTGTTTCCCAGTCACTGCCTGTGTATCTCTGCCCGTCTCTCTGTCTCTGTCTCCGTCCCCCTGTCCGTGTCCCTCTCTAACGGGAACAGGGCTCTCGGATCAGGGTAAAGCTGGTGTTGGGCTCGGATGAGGCAGAGGTTCCCCAGGCAAAACTGTGGAGCGTGCAGAGCAGACTCCCCGGAGACAGGCTGGCTCGCAGCGGGTGGGGCCCATGTGTAGGGGCCGTGACCCTCTGCTGTGGTGGCAGCTGGTTGGACGAGTGAGCTGCCAAAAAGAAGGCAGTTTCAGTTCGTATGGTGCCATCCGGGACTGCCCCCAGCGCGGGGGACAGGAACGCACAGAATGAGTGCGAATGCTGCTCAAATACTGCGGGTTTTGTCACCATGGCTCCAGCAGCAGCTGGTCCTGGAAATTGTGCCCCGGGCCAGGTCTCTGCTGAGCAGCCACTATGGGGTCATGAGGTAGAGCAGCCACCGTCACAGGTCTGTTCTGTGTGGATCTGAACTCTGCGTTCTGCAAGGCCACACCCAGGCAATACCGACGGGGAGGAAAACACTTCACTAGGGAACTGTTTGTCGGAGGCTGTTTTTTAGAGCAGTTTCCAATTTATAGAAAACCTGAGCAGACACAGATCAAAGTGCGTGGGGCTGGGCTGGGCCTTCCTAAGACGAGCACCTTCCCTGCTCTGACGTTTAGAGGCAACCTTAAGAAACGGGCTGTCCGCCTTGGGAGCTGCTTACGTGGACAGCTAACGTGGAGGTGGGCAGACCAGGAGGAGCAGCTCGGTAAGGGAGTGTGTATAAGCCGCACGGTGTGTGCGTGTGAAATGTGTGCGTTATTGTTCCGGAAAGGAGTGGCGTGGGCAGGCGAGTATGTGCCCCTGGGGGCCTGCGAGGCTGCGGTGGTGACGCGGGACTGCAAATTCTGTCCCCACTGGGCCGCTACAGGGACCGGAAGGCCTGGCGTGGGTGCCAGGGCGGCCCCTCCTTGCCTGCAGCTCCCTGTGGCCACAGCCGAGAAGCCTTGGCTCCTGGGCTGCAGGGATGACGTGTTGACCCCAGCTGTCAGCTCGGGTGGAGGGGCTGGAGGACATGGTGGCCTGTGCGGTGACGTGGATGCCTGGGCCCGATCCAAAGTTGAGGTCTGCAGATTTCATGTGCAGAAGCAGCCGGCTGGGCCACTCCAGGTCCCTCCTGCACTGCTGTGAGGCGGGGCTGGCGGGAGTTCCAGGGTGACATTTCCCCTCTGTCCCCACGGGACGGGACAGGCCCAGGGTCTCCCAGGTGGCCCTCTGCACCCCTCTGCCCTGGCTTGGTGTCAAGTGCGATGCCAGAGCTCCGGCTCCCTGCACGTCCCTGAGGGACAGTGGTGCAGTCGTCCCGTGAGACTTCTTTGGGTCGTCGCTCGCCGGGCAGCTGGAACTGGATGTGTGGACACAGCCGGGGGCTCCTCAGAGTCGTTAGCCGAGTGCACGCGCTGGCGTTTTATTCCTCCAGCTGAAATTTTCCTGACATTCCCGCTTTTGCTTTATTGGGTTTCATAAAACTCTGTTTTCGAGCAAGCATTCGGAGGCCCCAGGAGGGCAATTGGCCCTGAGTCCAAGTCATCAAGCGCCTAATGAGAGCCCGGGGCGGCCCTTCGCTGCAGAAGGTGAGGCTGCGGTGGCGCTGCTGCTCTGTGTCCCGGGCCCCACTCCACCCGCCACCATCACCTTCCAGGGTTTATAGGAGACCCCAGCTGGCGGCCCCTCGCCGCAGGCCCATCCCCTGCCACCCTGGAGCCTGTCACCATGCGGTGTCAGGACACATGAACCCACGGCCACGTCGGGCCCAGCAGGGCTGTTCAGGCCTGGTTCCCGTTCAGGAGGGTCGCCCTGGAGCAGGGACGAAGGACTGAAACGCTGCCTTTGGTCACAGAAATAGCCTGGTGTTTAACATAAATAAATGTAACGCGAAACATGCATGCGTGTGTGTGCATGCGCGCCCTCCGGTGAGCGAGCAGCTCTAAATTGTTTTGCACACACATTTATGCTGCCTCTGGTTTATTTTTTGGGACTTCAGAGAGATCAGTGAGGGGAAAGAAGCTGTCAGTTGCCTCCGGGCAGGGGCCGGCTCTGCTGCTCCCCGCGCCTCCTTCCTGTTTGTCCCCAGAACCTCTTCCTCTTCCAGGCCGGCTCTGGTCCTGCTCACACCCGGCCCGAGGGGAGCGACCAAGACTCGCTGGATGTTCATGGTGCGGTGGTCAGGGAACTGGAGAGGCAGCTGCAGGAGGCTGTGGGGCTGGTGGCTGGATTATGGGGCCCCCCAGAGGCCAGAGGCCCCTCGAATTCCTCCACGGTGGCCTGTGTCCCATTTGTCGCTAGTGTCCTGGTGCCTCTTCTCTGACCTGGCCTTTTCTGAATGGCCCTCTTGGGGGCATGGGCGACCAAGAATAAATGACCCCGCCATCCTAGCTGCCCGACCTGGGGGGCTGTGCTCTCTGTGGGTAAGAAGAGGCCCATTCCCCTGTGGTGCTCGACGGTGCCTTCTGTGTGCTGTTATCCACCAGGTCCCCCCACGACTGTCTGGGGCTCGGGAAGGGTGGGGTGACTCCAAGACTGGGGGAGCAGAGTCTGTGTGTTCTGCAGTCCCTAGAACGGTCCCTAGGGTCAAGGTAATGGCCTGTGCACAGCCCGGGGGTGGTGCTGTCATTTTCCTTCAAGCAAGAAGCCACTTGGAGATGGGTTTTGGGGTTCTGGCAGTTCCTGTGTCTTCTTTTTTCCTGATACGAGGTCTCACTGAGTTGTCCAGGCTGGGCTGGAACTTGCCTCAGCCTCCCAAGTGCTGGGTTACAGGTGTGTGCCATTACACCCGGGTCTGTGTGTCTTCTGACCCGCTGCCTGGCTGGTGGGCTCATTCGTGGGGTGACTGAACCCATTGCTTTCTCCCGCAGACCTCCCGTAGTTCCTTGCAGGGGCACCAGAATGTGCCCCTTGGCCTTATCACCCTGGATGTCCTTGATGGCCTGTGTCAGTGGCCTGTGTCAGACACCGCCGAGAGCAGAGCTTTGAGTGGGGCTTCCGGGGCGCTGTTTCGGAGTTCTCTGGTGTCTTCATGGGCTGGGCCGCTCCTGCCGCTCCCCACTGCCAAGCAGGCGCTGGGGAGCAGGCGATTATCATCTGTGAATATTCTGTGAAGAGGTTTTGTTTTGTTTTGTTTTCCCTTCTTGACCCTCTGGAATAAAGTAGGCCATTTATCTTTCGGCAGGAGAATTTCAACATTTAAGCAGAGTACAGCAGACTCACTGCACAGAGCCGGCTGTACGTACTTTTCATCACAGCCGATTACTGGCTCAGCTTTCCCCCACTTCGTAGCTCTTCTCCCCTAATGCTCTCCCTTTTCTCTAATTCCCCCGTGGGATCGCTCCAACCCGCCCTGCACACCGCCCTGCACACCGCGGGGAAGCGTTTGTCCGCCCGCTGTTTGTTTACACTCGCCTGTGTCAGCTTTGCGTCCAGGGCGACGGATGGAGAGATGTAATTCTCTGCTGGCTTTGATCAGAGAGGACTGAAACACATTTGCAGCGGAGTTTTGAAGGACAACGCTGTACACATTCCGTGTGTTTCTGAGCTTCGGTGTTTAGTTAATTTTGGGGAAAATCTCTTTTTTCTTTTCTTTTTTTCCTCTGAATCATAAACCCTGCAAGGCAGGCATTTTCCTTAAGATGACCCAGCTGAGGAGTGGAAGGGACGGCTCTGAGTTTACCAGCAACAGAGAGAGTTTGCAATGGAGCTCTGCTGCAACAGATGCACTGCTTTGTTTCTGTAGAGCACAGCCACCCCTGTCCCCAGGGCTCCCTTGGGGCCCAGCGCGCCACCCCCACCCTCAGAGACCCCTCATCCAATCTCTCATGGATCCTAATTTCAGGATTGATCATTAAATGCGCGCTTCTCTCAGGGCAGAGCGCTTGCAAATAAAAAGTGCTGAAAATGGTTAACATTTCCTGTCACCGAAGGCCTCGGTAGGGGTGGGGGTCACTGGGTTCTCAGTGTATTTTCACAGGGAACCTATTTCTGATCCGGCGTCAGGAGCTCCGGCGATACACAGTGAATCCGGGGTCCTCGGCCCCCAGGCGCGGTGCAATCGGCGAGCTCCGGGTCCACCTGGGCCGCGCGCGGGTTGGGAGGCGTCGGACGCGCTGGTTCAGCGAGTCTCCGCTCGCTCTCTCCCCCTTTACAGAGAAAGCCTGAATTTGTTCTCTTTTGCTGTACTTCCACTATTGACTGTTTAGTTAGTGACTTTGCCAACTTCCTGGATATTTGTTCTGGTTCTACACAAAAGCTCCACATTCCCTTTGGAGTCAGGACCAGGGACGCGGACCCGGAACCGTGAGTGCCCCGTCTCCCCCAGGACCCGACCCTCCGTGTCCCTCCGTCCAGGCCGACTTTCGGGGCTCGGCCTCAGCCCCGGCACCGACTGGGAAAGGAGGCTCTAGGGTTCCTACGCAAACATCAGGTGGGAGGGGGCTGCACTTTTCATTTAAGGCCCCGAAAGATGGAGAAAGTAAACAGAGCAGCCTGGCTTATTTCAGGGGCTAACGACGTGTCCCTACTGAATTTACCTAATAAAATGAATTTTTAAATTTTTCATTTTCTCATTTCATTCCAGCAGAAAATGAGTTTTCCTTTATAATGTCCAGATCTTTCAAACTCTATCGAGTGAGAAATTAAGTTACAAAATGTAAATAGTTTGGTACACACACACACACACACACACACACACACACACACAAAATGAAGTACTTTGTGACAGTAATGCAGTAACAGGTCTGGCTGCAGGCTCTGGGACACTTGATTTGATTTTTTTTTTTCTTTGTGAGATGTAATGAAGAGAAATAAGATTCAGTTGAAAAAAAGTCTTTAAAAATAGGTGAATTGTGATACTACATTTAACTGTCATTTTTGTTTGTAATTGTAAGTTGTCTGTTTTAAAGACCTTCTGAGCACCTGGTGGAAACTGTGAGGAGAGTGCAGAGGACATGCCCGTGGTCGATCTGGGCGGTCATCACTTTCCCTGTGGGAAACTTGCCCATTGATACGGGAGGCTCCACACACCATCGCGCCTTCTTCAGACCAAGATGCCCGGCCTTTATTTACAAAGAGAAAATAATCGACGCTTCATCCGAGAACCAGCGCAGGATGTTAGGCGCGAGATCAGGGAAGGAGTGTGGTCATTTGTGTAAGAAAATTCAGAAATCGACATCAAGCGTATGTAAAGTCCGAACTTGACGCTTCGTGTTCATAAAGAAAAGTTACATAAACTTGAAAAAATGAAAGTTATTTTGCTTAAGTGCCTGAAAAAAGAATTTAGAATAATATTTGGGTTATCCTAGTTTGGTGCTGTGTTCTGGAAGCCTTGTCAGGGTCCAGGAGGGATTGCAGAGCTCTGTGCCAAGAAGTGGGGTGTGTGCATGCGTGTGTGAGTGTGCACGCGTATACCTGTATCCCCCACGTCCCAGCCCCAGCAAGTGCACAGGGACGGCGGTGGGAGCTGCCTGGTGAGGGGGGAAACCAACTTCCATCAGAAAGGTAAGGTACGGCTAGTACAAAACCCCTAAAATGAACACTAGTTTTCTCCATGAAAAACCTCTCTTTTGGGGAGGGGCTTTGCAGGGGGTCCTGTAATAGGTTAGAACCAATTCCTACAGTTACCATAAACCAGAAATGCAAGAAAGAGGCTGCATCTGCTCCCGCGCATGTGGTGGAGTGTTTTCTTCTGGTCACTTGGTCCCCAAAGCCCTGGGTCCCTTCTGAGGGCACTTTGGAGCTCGCTCCTGGCGCTGTCCCCTTCTGCGGCCCAGTAGATGGCGATGTTACTGCTGGAGTCACCCTGGGCTGGGGGTGGGGAAGACAGACTGTGATCCCCCAACCGCCCAGGCCACCCTCTCTTCTCCGGGTGCGCAACAGGCTCCACACGAAGGAAGAAAACCCTTCCCGAGGCGCCGTGTGCAGTGTGCCAAGCCCTCCGAGAGTATTTAAAGTATTTGAGCCAAATGTTAATTACCAGATGGCCCCTCTGAGATGGTCTGAGACAGCCCGGCTCACTGTGTCCTGGAAGAGTCTGGGGGAAAAGTGGGAGAAATCTAGGCACTGTTTTGATCTTTCATCAGTAGCCTAACTAGGTCTTAAGAAATAAATTTGCTCACCTTTCTCCTGTAGCGATTGTGGAGAATGTGGAGGACAGGAAATTCTCTGTGGCTGAAAATGAGCAAATGAAAGCAGGCAGGAACACACAGCAGGGCAGTCACGCTGCCACTCGAAACGGCACATCCTGCAGACAGTGGGCTGAGCGGCACCTGCCCTGTGCCTGGCTTGCGGCTTCTGGGTCCCCGCGCCCCCACCAGTCCCCGGCAACCTGGCCTCTCTCACTGGGATGTTTCCCCCTTTATTGCAAAAACTAATTCTTCCTGTCTTGCTAGACAGAATCCCAGAGAATGACAGCCACATTCTTCAACGTGATGTTTAAATGAAAAGAATTTAAAGACGTTTTTGGATGGTTGCCACAGGACAACACGATTCATTAATTTGTTTTAAATAACTTGTATTTTTTTCATATAAAAGGTAGTATACATGTTTTAATATAAAGGAGTAGTGTGTATTTTAAATAAACTGGAATTCAGCAACGAGATTTATTTCTTTGCCTAGGAATGATGCTGTCATTTCTTCTTTGGAAAAAAAATGAGAGTCATTCATTTGACTTCAATTTTAAATACTACCTAAAGACATAGAAATATGTAAATGTATCATAGCACAATGACTTCATCAAGTCTGGCGGTAATTAATCTTGTATCGGTCTTCACAAGTTTCATTGACCGACAGGCTAGTTTTTATACCTGTCTGTATTTACAGATTGTTCATTTTAGTTGCCTACAATTCATAACTCAAGTCTACATATTAATAAAATGGTTGTGCAAAAAACCAGCTGTTTAAATAAATTCTGTTCTGCTTTAAAGATTTTTGCCCTTTGGGGAGAAAGTCATTTAAGTACTGAGTGACAGAGGCCAGCACACAATAGTTAGAATGTAAATAAATCTTCCTGAAACTTAGTTCTAATTTTCTCCTGCAAGATACTAACCCATAAAAAATAAACATTGTTTATTGAACCAGTTTGTATGGAGTGAAAAGCTGTAAAACGATACAGAAAATGTGAACTTCTCTGTCCCAAGTACCTCGGTTTGCTTCAGAGCAGAGGGAGCTATTGGATATGTAGACAGTGCAGAAAATAAAATTAGCAGCTCTGGTGAAAGAAACGTTCAAATGTTGCTGTTGCACGGCGGAGATCATATTAGAATTAGCAGAAAAAAAGACGTGTCACTTGGCACCTCTGCACAGGGACAATGTGATCACACCCATTAGCATTGACTTGTGTCTCTGCCCGGCTGGCCTTCTCACAATACTGTTTATTTCCAGAAATCACATTTGTGACAGCCGTGATATCTGACAGTGAGCATTTTCTTATTTAGTTGAAAATATTTCAGGTTTCAGAAACCGAGCATAGCAAAGAACTTGCCGTGTGTGACTTCACTGGCTGGGGCGAGAGATTTTAAGACATGAACTCACACAGCATGTTGGAGCAACTGCAGCCTGAAATATTTTTAACGTTTCAGTTTGTAGAGCGGCCGGATGGAACCTCGGCGGGATGCGGCCCTGTGGACTCCTTTCCTTCCGTGGAAGGGCAGGAAGAGGACGGCGGCCTCGCGTGGGGGCTCCCGCCTCTGCCTCTGACTTGGGGGCTGTGCTTTCCCTGTTCGGCAGTGTCTGTAACCTTTCCGCGTCTTGTTTTTTTTTTTAAAGAAACTCACAACTGATCTCTGTGAGGAAGGTGGGGCTGGGCATTCGCGGATGAATGCGACCAGGGCACCATGTTTCAGGGAGACCCACAGGGGCAAGGGCTCGGCCAGCTCAGCCCTGGCCCGCAGGCGCAGTGGGAGTCGGACGCTCTTGGGACTTTAGGGTCAGCTGCAGCCCCTGGAAGGAGGCTCAGAGCTTTGCACAAACAGCGCAGTGACTCAAACTGTCTGGCCCAGCGGCCCCCAGAGAGGGTGCCAGCCCCAGGCCTCTCCCCCGGCGTCTCCTGGGCCTGCTGGTCGGTGCTGGGGGCCTGGCTGGCAGCCCGGCGCTGGGCATCGCAGACAGAGCTCTCCTGACCACCCAGTCCCAGGGTGCCCGCTGTGCCCATGCTGGCACCAGACCCGGCCAGGCCAGAGGCCGGGATGAGCTGGGCTGCTGCTGGCCGCTCCTCCCCAGGAGCCTACCTCTTGGCCGTTTGTCCCTCAGGTTCCTCAGCTTTGAATTTCCTAGTCGTCTGTCTCCCCTGCCAGGTGTCTAGGTGTTGTGCATCCCGTGCCTGATTCTCAGTATCTCCCAACACCTCAGCAAGGGGCAGTGTCAGAATTCTCACTTGATGATTGAAGAAACTGAGTCCTGGGGAGGTTGAGTAGAATTCCAAGGCCACAGACTGTAGGGTGATTGTGCAGGGCTGGGAGGATTAAGGACCTCACCTTTTGGTTTTTTTTTGGTGCCAGGGATCGAACTTGGCACTTTGTGCTTGCGAGGCAGGCAGTGGCACCACTGAGCTAAATCCCCGGCGCAGGGACCTCATCTTCTTAACAGGGTTTATGTTGTTTTGCTAAGCAGTTGTTTATTGAGTGAATGCATAGGCTAGAGAGTTTGAGGGGCAATGGGTGTGATGGCTGGAGCAATGGCAGCTAGTGGATTCATAGAGGGCAGGTTTGGGTCCAGGCAGGGCTCTCCCCAGGTGCAGGAGATGTACAGTCTGGTACCAGAAGCCCAGTTCCTCTCGCTTGTATATCCTTGGCAAGATGAGCCCCACCCAGGAAGAAGGATAGAAGATACAGGAAGGAGGAAGGAATGCCCTGCTGGGTACCCATGCCTCCCTCCCACTGTCCAGAAAGGAGTCACGTGGCTGCTGTGCCCTGCGGGGCCTCTGGGAAATGCCACGTTAGTGGTCAGGGCTCACTTTCCTGAAACCCGGATGTGCCAGCCACCAGCAGAGGGCCCAGGCCTGTGGCCACCTGGCGATGCTTCTGGATGGGAGAGGACAGGCACATTTGTTGAAGCGGAGCCCCTTCCCACGAGGTATTTCTCTCCCAGGAGTCAGAGCACTTCACTGCCTCATAAGACACAGAGTGAATTAATGTGCTCATGACTGAGAAAAAGGGGCCCATGGTGTGGGCTACATTTTCCCTTGAAACAGGCGGCTTCTTCTATGACTGGCCTTTCACAGTGGAGAAAATCGAGGCACAGAAGGGTGGGGATGCAGTCGCTAAGCACGGGCGGGACTCAGCCCACAGTGCCCCTAGCCACGGTGCCAGCCCCGGGCTGTGGATTCCTGAGCTCGGATCCCGGCCCCAAGAGGGCGCTGGTGCTTCTCCACTCTCCTCTGAGTGCCCAGATGTGGTGCTGCTGTAGCTCCCTGACCCAGATCTCGTTCTCGCCCAGCTCTGTGTGGTGTGAGGCAGCCATCGCCATGGCAGCCCCGTACAGGTGCAGGCTCTGGGGTGCCTGGGTGGCCCCAAGCCCGTGGGATGTCACCTGACCTCTTCAGCCTCCACGCCCAGGCTGCCCTCAGGTCGGTGTCACCTGCTCTGGGTCCTCCGAGGGCCAAGGTAGGGTCTGGGCTCCTCAGCAGGTGACCCCCCCACCCTCACGGACCGCTGGTCCTCCGTGAAGGAGCCTCGGAGGCCGTGTCCACTGTAAGCAGGACCGCGGAGGGCCTGGGCGGCGTCACAGAGCCTCAGGAGCCCACTTTCCCGCCCACGGTGACACGAGCCGTCCCTGCCAGGACACGGCAGGCTCTAGGCAAGGTGCCTCTTCTTCACCCAAGCTGGCTTTTTTTGAACAGATGTGAATACTTAAAATATACCTCCAGTGTTACGCAGTAGCAGCACACTGCTGGGGCACCGACCGCATGGGTACTGGAACGCAGTGTCCCCACGGACGGAGACTGTGCCCAGCAGGCCGACGCTCTAGCTTCCCCCGTGGCGTTTGTCCTTCGGTGCCTGGCTTTTCCCCTCTGCGCCATTTCCTTCCATTCCCCCACACTGCCATAGCAACAGCGCCGTATTCCTTTGACGGCCAGATAACGTCCCCTTGTGTCCCTGGGCCATGGCGTCCTGGTCCACTGCCTTCCTGGGAATGGCGCTCAGGCACAGTTGCCGGCCAAAGATGCCCCAGCCGTGTTCCCCGCGATGTGTGCTGGGGTGGGCTGCTGGGTAGTGGGTGGCTCTGGGTCTGCTTCTTGAGGACCCCAGTTTTCTGCCGTAACTGCTGTTCTCACTGGACATCCCACCCACGGTGTGTGGGCGGCCCCTTCCTCTGCATCCCGCCAGCCCTGGTCACTTCGGTCGCTTTGCTGATGTTCATTCTGGCCAGGGAGGTGTCTCCCTACGTTTTGATTTGCATTGGTGATGCTGAGGATTTTTTCACACGCTCCTCGCCCATGTGCTTATCCTCTTTCAAGAATATCTGCTCGAGGCTCCCCGTTTAAGAATCAGCTCTGCCTTGTCCGCCTTGCGGATGCTGGAGGTCGGTCGCTGGCTGGCCGAGTGAATGGCTGGCACGGCCTCCTCCGGTTCTGGGGCCGTCTCCTCCCTCTCCATCGCTTCCTTGGCTGTGCGGAAGCTTTTCCACAACGTGGGACCGTGTGTCATGTTTTGCTTTTGCTGGCTGTGTTTGGAGTCATCTCTAAAAATTCTTTGCCTAGACCAGTGCGTCTCCCCTGTATTCCTCCTACTTGTTTCACAGTTTCAGACCTTGCACTTAAGGGTTTCATCCGTTTTGAGTTGATTTTCACTTATGGTGAAATACAGGATCTGCTTCTTTCTGCCTGTGCATGTCCAGTTCCCAACGCCATTAATTTGAAGAGATGCTCTTTTCTCTGTATGTTCTTGCTCTTTGTCAAAACTCGATTGGCTACAAATGTGTGGATTTATTTCTGGGTTCTCTGTGTTGTTCCATTGGTCTCCGTGTCTGTTTTTATGCAACTGTCATGCTGTCTTGGTTGCTGTTTTTTTCTTTTTTTGGTACCAGGGATTGAACTCGGTACCTGGCGCTTGCGAGGCAGGTGGCTGCTGAGCTACATCCCCGGTCCTGGTTGCTGTTGTGTTTTGAACTCAATAATTATAATCCGTTCAGCTTCCCCCGCCTCGCTGATAGCTTGATTATTTGGGGTA